CAAGCGTTTGGCAATGAAAAGGTGCAGAGGCAGTGAAAGGGCTCGCTGCGATAAATTAATTAAATAAAGAAAAGTAGCAATGCCTTGGAATGTAAGTAAATATGCAACACCACCATTGAAACAGGGTGTGTAACAAGGCACGGTTGGTTGGCTGAGACATCTCTCAGCCGACCATCTCTCCTGGGCTCGTGCCTCTGCTCGGCTGACTGGCTGCATCCATTAATTATACCCCCATTAGGCAGGCAGGAAACGCTCCCAACCAGAGGCACCTTCCTGCTCTGTCACTCAGCCCAGGAACATGACAGATACAACAGAGCTGAGGCATAATCGAGACAGAGCACCTGCCAGGCTGGATGGATGGGGAGAAACCCCTCTGCACAGAGGCTTTGCAGATTATTAATACCTTTGATTACATGACATGATGAAGAGGCACTGCAGGCCTCGGGAAGGCCACAGCCAGAGTTTTTGAGGTTGCTCACATCCATTACAAGTGTACAATATGTTCCCCAAGGTCTCCAGCGCTGGGGTGGCAGAGCAGCCACACGTGGCAGCCACCGGGACGAGCCAGCCCAGCACAGGAGTTGATGCATTTTTCATGCCCCTTGTGGCTTTCACATTATTTCAGAGCAAACAAAACCTTTCTTTCAGAAATCCAGCCTCAGCACTGAGAGGTGCCCAGCCCTGCTAACTGCTCCAGAGACTGCACTGTGGTGAGGCCCTGGCACAGGTTGCCCAGAGAAGCTGTGGCTGCCCCATCCCTGGAAACGTCCAAGGCCAGGTTGGATGGAGCTCTGAGCAACCTGGGATAGTGGAAGGTGTCCCTGGCCATGGCAGGGGGTGGAATGAGATGATCTTTAAGGTCCCTTCCAACCCAAACCATTCTGTGATTCTGTGATTCCCTCCAGGATTTGCTTCCCACACCCCCCACCTCCCTTGTCCAGACACACTATGCAGCAGTCCAGGCTTGAAAGCACCAACACTGCAGCTTTGCACCCCAAAATATCTGCTAAATACTCACTTTCACAGCATCTGGAAAGGCCAAGCAAGCACCTGTGTCTACTCAGAAGGATGAAATTCTCAGGGAGCAAAGCCCTGCTGTGACAGAGCCCCTCACTGGATTGCCACCAATTGTCCCTTCCTTGGAACAAACAAGGGTTTATCCATCTTGGTTTTATCCAAGGGGACAGACACTTTATTTCTGTATTTCACCCAGACTTCCAAAGCTCTTCTCAAAACAGTTATTTCAATGAAAGTAGAAACAAATCAATAGTTTTGAATTGTCTTCAGGGAGGAGACCAACAGGCTGAGGCAGGGCTGGGAACTCTCCTGCCAGCTTTGCCATGTTATTTCCCTTCCCTGAACTGCAAAACCTCACACTGGGTACAAAATGAGCCCTAATCAATACTCTGGTGCTGAGATACTATTACAGACTGTGCATCCCTCGGTCCCAGGTCACATGTCCAACTCTCCTGCCATGTCTTACAGTTTCCCAGAGTCTTAAACCCACAGGTTTAGCAATTCCCAATTTCAGTGGATTAGGTTTTTAATACCCCAGAAATCCTGTTCCATCAGAATATTTGCCTCCTGAATTTATACTAATTTTGTACAACTGCATTACTTGATTTAGTACCTTTAGTATTCAGTCTTCCCTATTACACAATGTACAAGGTTTGCGATGTTGCTTCCTAGTCACAACAGAAAAAATATTCCTGTGACTGTAATGCACTGTTAGTAAATTGTAGTTCATGGGCAACAGGCTATTTCTTCCCCAAAATGAATAATTATTAAGTGTTAACAGGAACTTGACATGATCAGCAGCTGCCTTCAACTGTCTGCATAACAGAAATCAATTGTTTATCAGACACCCATTAGCTCCCTAAAAAAAAAGGAAAATAAACCCCCCAAAAAACAAAAACTTGACCTACCTCTCCATTTAATGACAGCAGCTGATATGGAGCTCCATCCATGTGTCCTGAGCCAACCACTCTTCAAACCCCTGTCCGTCAGTGCAACCGGTCTGTTCACTTTATCACTCTTCAGTCACCAATTCCAACCAGGATTTAAACCATCAAGCAGAAAAACTTGACTTAAGGCACCACTTTTAACCTTGACTTGCATTTGATATTTATTTTTGTTAAAGCTCGTTAGCTTTGATGAACTGGGCTGGCCATTAAACCAGCAGAGATGTGCAGCCAACCACCCCTGTCAAAAGAATCCTAACTCAATAAAAATAAGGAACTTCAATAAAGTGAAATGAAAAATGTATGTTTCATCACTATTCTGATTATTTTCCCCCTCTCAAGATTTGGGGCAGAACATGGGGATGCAAATTAGAACTAAATGAAAAATGACAAAGCTACCTTAGGCACACAGAGCGACTGACAGCTTTCAAATTTAGGATTGATTAAATAAAGCAGTGGCTGTTTCCTGTGGGTTAGAGCTCTCTGTTCCAAAGCCCTACAAATGCCTGGCTTTGCTCAGAGCATTGCTATTTTAGAACCAAAGGCTTAAGTAACTCTTCCTGCTGCTTGTTCAGCATCTCAATTATGTGAGGGGAGTTTAGCCACCCACCCTGCTTATATACACACCAGATATTTTGCCTTCGTGTCTTTTTGTCCCCTAAATGTTATTTGAATCTTGGTCCCAGGGTACAAGGTTTCTTTGAGTGACTTTCCCCCTCTGCCTGTTTATTAATATCACGTTGGAGGGTAAAAAAACCCAAATATTTTGGGGGGTTTTCAGTGCTCATAAACCCAAAGAGTTCTGTAAGCATATTTAAAAACTAAACTAAATCAGTATTTTACATTCTTGCATAAAAAGGAGGAATCTAAATAACCAGTACTGATGGCACTGTAAAGAGACAGATACTTAAAGTATTACAAAATATTTTGGCATCCCAGAAGTCTGACATGATGTTAAATGTCAAAGGTGTTTCCCACATTCAGCATAACATTAAAATAATGGCACTCAAACTGCACGAAATGTGAAGTTTCAGTGACAACAGGTTTTCAATGAATCACAGAAAACCAGAAACATTAATTAGTTTTCTAAATAATTCAGTATATATTCAATTTTTAGTTTTAGAATTGGAGAAACTAAAACTAATAACAGCAAACCTCAGACACTCATTCAGATTTTCTTAGGTCATTCAGCATTTACTATTTGGAACAAGAACCCAAAAGCTGCTTTTTGGTTTTTTTTCTGAAGGAGGAAGAACCTCAGTTACCCACAAGGGTCACAGCAATTTCTTGCTCTTTCAGGCTAGATTTTTTTAAGTTCCCCAGAAATTAAAAAAAAAAATTGCAAAGAATTAAGGTTTCTGTCACTCAATCACTTTGTCTCTTTACAAAATTCAAGAAAAAGCACATGAGCTAAAAAAGACAATTTTGTTTATTAGATTTTGTCCTTGGAAAAAGCCTCTGTGCGTGAGTTTGATGTCAAAAAGCCCCTGGAATTTGGCTCACTGATCTGGCTTCTGTCCATTTGAACATCTAATGGCTGGGGGGGATGTCTTTTTTATTTTACACGTATCAACATCACAGTTCATTTCTCAAGGCAATGAAAAAAAATGCTTAATATGAGTCAACAGCCAATTCCAATTTAACCCTCAATAAAAGTCTATTTTTGGCAGAAGGTTCGCCTTTCTTTAAAATTACTAAAACCACGACTTAAAAACCACTTCATAATGAGGATTAAATTGTTTCATACCTGTAGCAAAGCTGCTTCTGTTCACTGAGGGTTTGAATCCTTCAAGACTGATGATAGGCAGGCAAAGAGCAGACAGAAAAGCCAATTTTCTCTTGGAATTTAAGCAAGACCTTGTCCATCTCCTTGAGTAACTTGTCTCTATTTTTCCAACCAGTGGCAGGAAATCTTCAATTCTACAGCTGCTGTCTATACTCTTGATCTCCACATGCCTCATCCTCACCACAGCACATCTTGAGCATCCTTTTAGGATTAAAAAAAAAAAAAAGCACTGCTTCCCTGAGTGCACAACAAGGCACTGCATTTCATCATTTCCAGCCTTGCAAATGGCTCAGGCCATTACAGCACAGCCTGCCTGGAAAAACAGGGTACAATATCCAGGTACTTTGTGAGACAGATCTACTCTTTATGGTGATGACAAAGGCAGGACAAACTTTCATTTCAGAAAGAAACTAAGGATGAAGTAGCCTATAAACAAAACACCTTCAGAGCAGCAGTTAAATCTGAACAAAGAGGGCTACAAGCCCATACTCAGGACTGCCAAACCCAGAAACTACAGCTCAGAGGTTGATCCAGGGGCAAGGAATTCTGGCAGAAGGAGACTCAAGACTGGTATGGAAGAGGAGCACAAATTTGAGATGAAGTTTTGCCACCTTCCATGTGGAAGCAGTGCCCTGATTCCCCATGAGTTTATGTAGCCCCTGTCCCCAACACACACTGACATTCCTTCCATCCCACGCAGACTCCTTGCCATCCTCATTCCTCCTTGTCTTCTCCCACTCCTTGATCAACACCACAAGGTGACCCTTAGGAGAACAGCAACATCTCAGCAGTTGGGTGTCCACAAGGTTTTCAGGAGGAGGAAGTGGTTCAACAGTCCCACAGGTATTCACTGCCAGAAGACTCTCCAAATTCTGACCAGGGATTGCACCAGAAACCTCTGTCCCACCCCCCATCTCCCCTTTCAACACCTGCAATGGGAAGACAGGCTTTGGCTTGGGAGAGCAGCTGTTCTTTCCCCACTGATGGTGAGCACATGTTGTAGATTCAGATTAAGATGTGGTGTTGAAGCTGTTTAATTATATTTACACAACATGCATCTGTACCTGTACCTGGCTCTAAGGGAGCTGCTGCACATCCACACTCCTACCAACACCCAAAGCTACCCCAAAACAGGGAACATCCCAGCAGCAGAGATCAGCTGCTGTCAGCAGGTTGTATCTCCCCAACACTGAACCAAAGTTCCCAGCTGCTTCCACAAATATAGATATTGATAAAATGATACAGACAGGAAATAAATCCTGCTACTCACTTAAGCACTTTTTATTATTAGAACGATGATGTTCATTTTAAGACTCGGTGACAAATCCTGTTTGGTACATCACCACCTTATTAAAAACCTGTGACACGTGCAGAGAATGTTAAATTATATTAAGTAAGCTGTTAACTTGACAAAATCCAGGCTGCTGCTTTCTGCCTGACTAAGCTGCAGCAAAGATGGCACATTGTCAAGGGGTGGGAAACATCCTCTCCCTCCTTGCCAAAGCTCCAGATCCAGTCGAAACTCTAAACAGCAAAAAATCAGTAAGGTGTCTGTCACATCAAGAACTCAGCCATCACACTCCAGTCCAGACCCACGTACACGCATCAGTTTTTGGGGTGTGACTGCCACCCAACTGCAGGAAAGAAATGGACACAGTAGTTCCAACTCCCTTGCCTTGCCTATATTCCATTTATCCACCTCAACTGATGCTGAACAAGAAGGCAGCTCAAGAGCAAAAACAAAAAAAAATGCCTCAAAGTGACAGATACTGATGAAGACAGAATTTACAACTTTTTGACTAGTAATCAAAAGCAGCACAAAGTTGTTCTGCACATAAGGCAGAGATCTGACAGCAGTGCCAGGGCACTGGGTGGCCCCTGCCAATGCAGTCCCACATGGCACTGGTGGTTCCAGCCATCAGCAAAAGACTGGGAATAATAAAGGAATGCCAGAGTCAGATCTTTAAACATCTTGGCATTAATATCATTATTTGAGCATTTTCACTTGTGACACAGGAGGGTAAGTGTAGAAACCCCAGTGTTTATCTCCATTAATTAAAACACCCTTCAAGGGGAACCCTTTGTGAAGCATTTTAGGGAATGAAAGTTCCAGCTATGGACTAAGAGCATGGCAATGCCACTTTCTACTCTGTACCAGGCTCCTTTGGAAGATAAAACAGATCCAGCACCTCCTGTCAGCAGGATTCCACCCCAACCTGTCATTCTAAGCATCAATGAAAAAAGAGAAGTTTATCTTTTGTCACTACATCTGTGAATTATTATACTCACACACAGAGTTCATACAGCCAAGCTATCTGCAAACTCCAGGTAATTATTCCTTTAATTTATAGTCATCCACCTATTCCAGGTAATCTATTTCAGCAAATAGACATACTCTGCTTGTTCATTGAAGGGTTCTTTAATGTGAAGAGAAACGGAAGCTTCTGACTAACCACGCGTGACTGCTTAACTACATTAAAATCACTGGATTTTCAGCAGTTTCTAAGCTGTTCACACCGTCCAAAAAAAGCCTCAGCACTCAAGTCTTTGAACAGTTCACCCAATAAAGTTGATGTTGTGCACCAGGTGTTCTGGAGGCTTTTCTTCAGCTGAAACCTGGCAGGATTCATCTCCTTTTGCCCAGCATCCCGAGCCTTGCAGGAAAACAAGGCCAAAAAGAACAGACAACCTCAGGTCTTGACAAGCAAAGCTTCTTCCACTGGTCTGACTTCAAACAGAGACGTGACACTGTTTTGACACACGAGTCCCACCTGTGCACCACAGAACGATGATGATGACAAAAGTATGATGCAAAGTCTTGTTGAACAGTCACCCCAAATACAAAGAGAGCATACAGAAGCTTGATGCAAAAAATCCAGAAAGAGTCCAGGGCAGTGCTTGGGCATCACTAAAGATTTAAGGACTACTGGGGATCATGTGGCCAGCCACAAACGGTCTCATCAGAGGTCATGACATTGTTCTGTGCTGCTGGGAAGAGTGAGCAGCCTGACACCCCTCAGCAGAGGTTTGGTGATCAGTTAAAAAACCAAAAAGAAAGGCCCAGGGAGGAGCTCCCGCTCACGCAGCCGATCGCCGGCGGATCACGAACACACCTCGCTGCAGCTGCCCCAGGTAGATCCTCATCTTGGTGCTGTCGCTGGTTTTCCTCACCCAGATCTGCAGGAAAGTAAGAATATAAAAAATGGGAGGGGGAGATAAATTGGGGAGAACTCACAATAAGCAACGCACAGACCAATAAACTTATTGCCAGAGCTGAACACCTCTGTTAGTCCCCTGTTACTCGGGTTAATCCTTTCTCCCTCCCCACATGAAGCATTTGCAACCTGAGTAGAACATGAAATAAGGTTTCTAACTTTACCTCCTTAACTTCCTGCTCAGAACAGTCCTCAAGAAAAATGACTCTTTCCACGCACCATCAGGAAAGCAGGTTCCTTTCTGCTCCAGTTCACAACAGAACTGTGGCATTAAGCTTTGCCTAATCAAGAATAAGTCTCCCTAGATCCACAGATCATAAAATTACCTACCCTGGGATTTGCCCAGGCAAGTAACTATTAGTCAAATGAAAAGCTTATCCTGACTCTGTTCCGTGAAGCATTTCCCACAATGTATTACAGAAATGGTGTCTGAAGACAAAAGGGCCTCTCTTTTAAACACCTGCACGGAAGAATTCACACATGTTCCAAAGGACAAATTGCTGCCACTCCAGAGAATTTTTAAAATCTCTTTCAAGATGTTTAGATCCAAAAACCTGTACTTTAAAAACCAAGTCTGAGCAATTTCCTCTGCTTTATACCATTCTAATGCATTTAAACATATTTAAATATGTGCATGAAGTAAGAATTACCCAGCTCTTAGTACTGACAGAAGTCCAGTATTTCCTACTGCAAAGGATTATAAAGTTATGTTGGCCTTTGATTTATCCTAAACTATTTTTTTTTAGCTATATTAGCAATTAACTCTATTATTTTAATTATAAACTGACTTTATTAACAGAAGCCCTCATATACAATAAATTTAATATTTGCCTGTGTTTGTACTTCAATTATTTCCCCAGAGAAATTAAAATCTGCATTCATTGAGAATCACCACTCAACTGCAACATTACCCAGAATTTGGCATGTTTTGCTTGCCAAAAGAATTAAAAATTTCTGAGCAACTGTACAAAAAAACAAACATGTACAATTTTACATTTTATCACGATATGATGAAATGGTTTATTAGTTTTGGTAAAATTAACTGCTTGTTAAGTTCCACTTGGAGCAATATTAAAGTTCAGGTTTATGTGACCACAACAGTGCAATTACTTAACATTAAAATCTGCCACAGTGTTCAGAAAAATAAACACATCAAGACATATTCTGAACTTAAAACCGATGTTTCAGACACACAATATATTTTGCCATCAGAGGAGAGCATCTATTAATCCTAAAAAACTGAAGGAGACGGGAAATAGGAACAAGCAAAGCAATTTCTGAATTTCTTTTATTCCTAGACTTTACAAGAAAAATAAGCTTCCTCCTTTTTTCAACTTCAACAAGCTGAGATTTCTGAATAAACTAATAAAAGATAACACTTTCCTGCAGGTACTGAAGAGGTTTTTTTGTCAAAAAGCACTAGACCAGGTTGCTCCAAGCCCCATCCAACTTAGGGGGACACTTCCAGGGATGGGGCAGCCACAGCTTCTCTGGGCAACCTCTGCCAGGGCCTCCCCACCCTCACAGGGAGGAATCAATAGATTGCATTTCCCTCGTGGTTTCAGGTAAGATGCTCCCAAAGAATTCAGTTTTAATGTTATACAGTAACAGTAATAACTTGATAATCAAGTCAGCAGCACTACATTTAGCATCCATTAGCACACCACCACTACTTTATCTGAACTATCAACTGCTGAGCACCACAACTGTTACTGCCAGGGGAACAGTTGTGATACGAACATATCCCATATGCAACTCGTTCTGAAGAAAATAAAGTATTTTCCCTTAGCTGCCACAACAAATTAAAGTTCCTTTACTGGCTGATTGAAGAGAAGTGCACTCAAGTCTATTATTTCTTTCCCTGAAGTGTCTGGAATCTGCAAAGAATAAACTGCTCCCTTTGCCCAACTGCTGCTCCTGCAGCCAGACTCGCATCAATCTTGGGCACGGAGCTCTTCACCTGCTGCTCTAAGGCTTCAGCAGCAGCCACCAGGAAATTGCCTCAGACAAATGACTGGCCTGCCCCATCTCCCAAGGAGGTGATGGATGCTGCCAGAGAGCTTCTCAATTAGCAGGGAGAATCTTCTTCCCTCACAACAACTAAATTTGGTGACAGCGTTTTTTCTCATCCTCCTCTGCGTTCCCAATGGAATTTCTTTTAATCCTGCATGAACAACAACTGTGTGCATGTTCTTGAAATAACGAAAATGCAATTTATGAATGTAGTGCCAATGAGATGCAATGTGTCAGTTCTACCCATTTTTCCTACTACCACTTGTAAAACGTAGGATCGTTCTTTAAAAACAGAGCAAGTGTCTTCCCATCTCAAAAAAAAGAGATTTCTCAACTCGGTTTTATCTTGGATTCAGCTTCTTTACACACCAAATATGTATCTTTGTTGAAAGGTTCACTCTTAGTCCTCACTAGACCCATGTCCTCCCCCCCTCTGCTGAAAAACAAAAGCAGCCCACCACCTCGTTGGCTCCCACAGAGCTGATCACGCAGCTGATCTTCGTGTTGTCTTTAGACTCCAGGTAAATAGCCTGGCTCTTGTGGTACCTGCACAGAGAAAAAAGGGAAAGGAAACACATGAAACCACTGGTGATAAAGCTGGGATTCCACGTGCATTTGGACAGAGTCAATCTGAGGTCTGTCTGTCTTTCCACACCACTTTCTCCATCTTTGCACACAGTGAGTGCTCCGGTTCTACACACCCACGCTTTCCATTCCGTGATATTTTGAAATGCATGATTCACATTCAACTCTACGTGCAGGCTACTGAAAAGAGATTTCACCTCTGCAAGAGGAAGGGGCAGAGCACCAGCCACAACACAGGAGAACACTGACTGACAACAAGAGCTAATCCAAGCAGCCTTTCACATTTCAGCCACAGGATGGATTTCAGGAGGCAACTCCATATTATGCCTCATGAAATATGACAGAGGAAGTCACAGATACTCAAAAGTTATTAACATTTCCCAACACAAAATTACTAGTGCACCACCACCAACCAAAGTGAATTATCCTCAATCAGTGCAGTTCGTGTATTGTTTAACAAGACCTCAAATCTCTAATACCGTTTTATTTTGTGAAAATACCCAAACTGGTAAGTGATGGGTTTCTGACCCCATAACAAACTGTATATACCTGCCATTAGGAGGCTGTGACTAAACATACCCATTTCCCTCCCCCTTTTTTTTTAAGCTATATATTGTTCTTAACGTGTTGTGTACAAAACAAAGACTTTGAAAGTCATAACTCTGAATTACTTGTTTCCAGGGACTTGCCCTCTTCACAGCCACATTTCTCTAAGTGCTGTAGCCAAACCCCCCCAGTTTCTGTTTACTCTGCCTAGGAGAGTTCTGTAGGCAGAACTAATCACACTGAAACAGGTGATTTGTAAGTAAATAATCTTAATCAAGCAAGCACCAAAATCCTTTACAATCATAAAAGCATAACTATATTTCCACCTTTACCCTAATCATGATGTGCTTCATATTTACAGGGCAATCCAAGCTGCAGAATCACTACACAGCTACTCCCTCAGCAGCTACTCAGTACAACTCCTGCAGTCTGAACACCATTTGCAAAATGCATGGATTTATTTAATCTTTACAGCTATTTCTAAAATAACCACACTGTAAATATGGAAGTCTTCCCATGGTTTATTTCACAATGTCTTCCTACTGGCTCATGTACTCAGAATTTTCACACTGCTTGCCAGTAACTAGAATGAGTGTCAGCTTTGAGCCTTCTAAACATACTCACTACCCACAGGCTGGGTGAGGTAATAAAAAAAACCCAAATCCTGCAACCTTTTGACACCTGTGCCTGACCATTGCTCTTTCTCCTTCATTTTAACAGAAAGGATGTCAGTGGGTTTCAAGACAATGCAACAGCAACAATGATCTTGAGCCAAAAAATCGCAGTTTAGTGAATCCAGATGTCATTAAATGATACAAAGCAACTGAATAAGCTACTACAAACCCCAGGCCTCACTAAGATAAGACAAAAATCTCAGTCCAGCAGTGTCCTACCATGCTGTGAGTGCTTAAGCAAGGAGAATTGATGATCTTGATACAATCAGTATCAGTGCAGAAGATACCAGTGCAAAGGACACCTCTCAAGTGTTATCTGTGCCTGCACAGATAATGAAATATTTTTCCCCCACTCAAAGCTGTTTCTTTCAATTTTTGATTACCACACGTGGCACAGGCTTCAGCCCTGGGATTTCACATCACGAGTTCCCATCCATCAATGAATGCATGTTAATTGTGCCTAAGGAAGGCAAGGGAACACGTTGGCTCAGCACAGTTTCACTGAGGAGTTGTCTCAGCTGTCCCACGCTCTGTGCACGCACAGACAGGTCAGCTGAAGGCACAGCCTGGTACCTGTTCATGCCTCACCCTTGTGCCACGTTTATACATCCACAGAGGGGTAGAACTCAGGAAAACACTCCAGATGAAAAATGCTGTGGAGTTTAAGCTGGCTTTCAAGAGAGGGGAAAGTGCCAAACAACTCTTGTGTTGCAGTGATAAAACGCACCACGATGCTCACAGGTGAGACAAGCAGAAACAATTCCACTTCCTGCTATAAAATATTTCGCTGAAGGGCCAAGATTTTCAGCTGCAACTCCATCAAGAGATTGAAAGAAATCCCTCTACATTATTGAACGCAGCAAAGCTAAAAGCAAAAAAAGATGGTTGTTTTACAGGGAACTGTATTTTAGGATTCGATGGGGGAGCACGGAGTGAACTGACCGAGGATAAAAAACTGAATCTAATTCCACATTCATCTGAAACTCTCCGCTTTGGAGACTTATTTGTGAAATATCTCTGCAAAACCTTAGGGGGTCCTTAAACATTCAGTGTTTTCAGATAGCAGTCATGCACAGCTGCCTCAGGAAACAGAGAAAGTCACTCCTGAGCTGTCAGGTTTAGTATTTCTGTGCATGCCAGCACTCTTAATGCACCTTGGAAAGAATTACCCTCCCACTATCAAGAGTTATTTCATTATTTTAAAACACCAGCTACTTTGGAGAAGTTCTATTACTATCAATCAAAAAAAAAATCTAAGCAGGATTATAACAGCCAAAAAATGTAAAATACTTAAATTAAAACAGCATTAAGAACAAGGTAGATAGGAAAGACAACATCTGGAATTCCTGACAGTGAGACCCTCATGACAACTGAATTCAGGTAGATGAAAATATTTGTTAGTGCTTTATGTCCCAACTAGATACCCTTCAGAGAGAGAGGGTGCTTTTCTAAGATTCATCTGGGCTCACTGAATCTCTTCCAGGTTTAAATTTAGTGGGAAGTTGGGAGCTTTACTGGCAGATTACTTCAGATTCCATTTTTTTTCTTTTTTTACTAGTGAACACTTTTCAGTACCCCACACACTAAAAATTCTGAAGAACAGTTTATTCATCCAAATATACCCCAGAGATAATTTTTTTTGTGTGTGTAAAGTGACTATGAAAGCAAAAAAAAAAGAACCTGATGAATTTGTGAAGCCTGTTCAGCTCACACCTGCTTTATGCTTCATGGACATTTAAACCCCAGGCAGCAGCTTTTATCAGAGTTATGTACACTGAACCCTTGATGAAACATCACAGTCAGAAGGGAAAAGTGACCAACTGTACAAGATGACTGTTGTGTGGAAAACAAGCTTCACACCTGCCATTTTCTGTGATAAAACTACAACCTCATCACTTGTTATTTTGAGCCACCAGAACTCTGAAGAAGGTTACAAACAAGCAAATTGCTTTCTGCTCAAGGAGGACAAGATTGCCCCCTTGATTATCCAGGTTTGCATGTCTCATGGATTAAGTTTAAGACCTACTAAGATTTCTCTGCAGAGTTTAATATTTTCCTTGTGTTTTGTGAGGCTTGTACAGCTGCACGGCCATAAAACTCAACAGAGCTAAATCCAATCAGCAATTCTGAAGTTGCCTCTCCCAGGTGGGTCTGATCTTTAAAGGTTATTTGGATTTATTAGAAACATTTTTCATCCTGCTCTGCTGGTGGACGACATTTCTTCTGCCACCTTGTGGAATGCTGGGCTTGTGTTCCACAAAACTGAACCCCTGGAATGTGAATGCTGCTGACATCACTGTGCCCAAAAATCATGGAGTGTCTGTACCCAAGCTGAGCAGCTTCACAGCTCCATCCCACTGTGTCTGCTGCTGGCTCTCTTACCTAATATCAGGTTTGACAGAAATACTTCCTAAGTGTCACAGTGGACATCACTGACTCCATGGGAAAGATTCAAGTCTCCTTTTATTGGAGCCACTAGTTATCCCTCAAATCTATGGGGTCTAAACACTCCACCATCACTTCTGATTTACTGGTTGCAATAATGAGCCCTTGGGGGAAGCAGCGAACTCTGCCCAGAAACATTTTGTCCGCAAATTCTTTGATCAAAGCAATTTCTCTCTGTAGCCTTTTCCTCTTCACTACACAACACTCAGGCTGATTAAAACAGAAATCCCCCAGGCCTCACCATCTCTTATCATAGTAGAGTTTTCCATCTTCTATCCGGGCTTCAAACCGCTGTGCAGGAGACTCTGCTGGTGTAGCTGGGAGGTGTTCAGGAGAGGAGGGGGAGGCTGAGAACAGGAGAGACACTGTGTTTAAAAACCAGCATGTGTCCATGACACAGTAGCACATCTGACTGCAAAACTGCAGTTAATAAGGTCATATATGCAGAAATTATAAGCCCAGAAAGCTAAAAACGCAAATGTCCCTCAGAAAAGTATTATATATTGGTATGAATAACTCAACCTCTGCCTTGAATTATAATATTCACTGAAGATTTAACTGAAAAAAACATTCATAGGTAGGTGATGGACAATATGTCCTTGATTTTGTTTTATATCTAACCCAAATTAAAGTAGTTAAACAGGGTCAGAATTACTTAAGCAAGTTGCTACCACTCTGTCTTGAAATTAAGTGCACAGACACATCTAGAGAGCTGGAGGCATAAAACCGTAAGTGCTCAATCCCTCCACTGACCTGACAAGCAGGCAAGGTGTCCAGATGCACCTGAATATAATGAAAAACCCTCTTTACACAGTTGGATTGTCCCAGGTTTCAGCCACCAAAGATACACATCTCCCTTCTCATCCCTGAAAAACGTCAGGGCAGACAAAGAGACTTCACACAGGGCCCATTCAGCACAGCAGCCACACAAAGAACAGCAATTACACAGTCAAAACAATTATACAGCCAAATTCCACAGTCAGCAATTATACAGTCAAGCATCTACAATATCATTCTCTGCTCAGAACAGCACCACTGTGAGCAAGTTCCAATGCAACTGTTAACTCACCTGGTCTCTTGGGTGATTTAAGCTACATGGGAAGAGAGTAAAGCAGTGTTAGAGATCTGACAGGAGCCTTACAAGCTGCAGTAATAATTTCAGATATCTTGCTTTCCATACTCTGAATGCTTCTCTTTTAAATGCACTGTTAAGTGGCATTTCATACAACCAGAGCAGTGTGCTATAAACAGCCAAAGGTGCAGATAATCAGGATCATGATACAAAACTGAACTTTAGAGCATTCAGACAATCCACTCAAATGAGCCAAACCCATCTAACAGATTGTATTTTTGAACATGATCCAACATTTCTCAGGGTACACAAAATACAGGAGATAAATCACCAGGAACACCTCAACAGCTGGCACAAAACCCATGTTCCACTACCATCCTCTTAATGAGCAGCCCCTATTGTAAGAAACTAGACAAGCCTTCAAGTGTTTAGTGAAAGCAATAGGTTAAGCAAAACTAGAAAAACTATAAACATGCACACTGCCCCCTATTCAATTTGCTGAAATATTGTGACAGCTGGGAGAAAAAAAAGTTAATAAAAACCCCATCTCCCACTAAAGCCTAAACCAAAGGCAGATCCCCCAGATCTGTGATCTCTCAGAAAAACACACTGACATCTGTTCAACCACAGAGAGGAAGAAACTCCTTAACAGGAGCTCATCCCTTGGTTCAGACAAAAGGTAACATTTTTAGATGACAGTCACTTTAATTAGGTTAATGAAACCTATTAAAATAAAAGGGAGGAGATACCATCTTGCTAAATCTTTTATTGAGCTACCTCAGAAAGCCTACAGGGATGAAACAGTCCCACACCTCAAAAAGGAACATTAAAGAGAGCTCTGTTCTCTTTAAGGGAAAGCAATGGCTTTTTCTTTAAAACAAAGAAATACAATCAAGCAACAATCCCTACCTTATTCAGTGTTCTCAGGTCCTCCATTATTTGCTCATCAGTCAACAAATAATTTAGCTGAGGTATCCAGAATTAAGGTTCCCATAAGCTCTTGACAAGCAAGGCTACAAATTAAAGGTCAATGACATTTCACTTGACTAAATGTAAGCCAAAAGGTTTCTGTAAATTTGCATAAGATTTTACTAAGTGTCATACTTGAACTTTTTTTGTCATAGGAATTAATACAAGCCAATCTCCACTGAGCCTCATCTTTAGCAGCAAACAGTGCAAAATGACTTTAATTTATGCAGACACAACCATCAATGAAAAACCTTTAGTGCATTGACATTTACTTCATGGAGGCATCAAGCACCAGCATTTTCAGTGCTTTTGGTCTTGTATTTCTGTAGAGAAGAATCTGGGAGCTGGAACAACAGACTCACTTCAGATTTTGTACAAGGAAACCAAACCCAGGGAAATAAAACTCATCATTTTGCAACTCAGTAAGCAGGAGTAGAGAGAGAGAGAGAGAGAAGAGGGGAAAGCCATACAAAATTAAATTAAAAAATTAAAGCCACAGGTACAAAACACATCCTTGTGTGGATGAGGATAAATAAGAGCCTGTAATGCACCTGAAAACAAACTCAAAACCCCAGAACACAGGAGTTAGTCTATTACAGTCTTATTAAAGCTTTGCTGTCCTTTTGTTTCTCCAAAACAGCTGTTAAGTCAAAAGTATTCAAAGTATTAAACTAAAGTTAACAATTGCTAGGCTGCATTTTCAGGATTTTGGTTCTGATGGACTTTAATCTCCCCCCAGTGTGGGTAGGCAGAGAGGGTTTCATGCTGTGCCTGCTGTATCATGCTCAATTAGCAGGTCGTGTTCACTATGAAACTCATTTATTTTGGATTGAGATCGGGGCACTAATAAATGATCATATTTTCCCTGACAGAGTGAACAGAATCTCCAACCAGAAAGAGGTTAATTAAAACTGGAGATGCTTGTGACCATCCTGCATGAACTCCAGGAGTTCAAGGTTTGATACTGCCTTCAGAAAATGCCAGTCACTAAGATAAGTTTTTTCTAATCTAAGACATACAAGTTTAGAATCTAATAAGAAGCCTCTACAAAGTAAATATCCTTGCCTTCCTTTCCAGGTGAATTTAATATACAAATTTAAAAACTGCCTGTCATCACAGCGGAGCTAAAAACATATTTCCAGAAGCCAAGGAACATTTTAATTCTGAGACATGCAACAAGGCAGAACAGAAGGATTACATATACATGTTTCTCTCTCTTGTGAGACATAAAAACAGGATGAATTTTCATCTTTTCTTATTCAAAGAACAAATCTGCCACTCCTTGCTTTTGCCATGCATTTTCTGGATTAGGGATCTGAAGCCTTTATCAGAAATGGAAAAACTAGTTTGATATGACAAATATGATCTTTCTGGTGAATGTTTTGTCACATCTTGAAATGAGAAAAGCTTTGGCTCATGTAAAAAGCCATTTACTATCTATGGAATCAATTATCTCAGCATATAAATATAATGTTCTTTCAAAGTTTTTCCTTTGTGAAAAAAAAATTTGTCTGTAGAATTCAAACTATTCTGACAAATATAAAGTTATCTCATGATACTGTAAGGTTTCAGTTAGGATACCAAGAGATCTCCAAACAGTGGTTTTTACATACACATATTATATTATATAACTGTTATATTGGTTTATCACACATTAGACATGAGAACTGTGCTTTGTTATTTCCTAGGTTAAATTTGATCCCAGCATTTAATTTCATTTTCTTTCCTGCACAACACAAAGGTGCAGGTGGCACACTGGCTTCAAATCCAACAGCCCTCCAATGACTCTGTGAAAGGATATCAGGGGCAGGTTTCCTCCTCTTGTCTGGGATGGGAACTGGATCGTTTGGTCGTCGCCTCAGTTTCCTTGTCATAATAGGCTTCACTTCCATTGAATCTGGAGAGTAATGAAGTTGGAGAGCTGATAAGACCAGAGAAAAAGGAGAAAGCAGCAGCACCTTTCTACACAGGGCACAAGGAAAATAATCTTTCCTCTTTCATAGAGCAAATTGAATTTTTTTTCCTTTTTTTTGTGGCAGCTTCCAGCTCCCGGAGCGGGAAGTGCTGACGGTGAACTCAAGTTCTCTTTGCCATCAGGTCACTGTTCAGTGGCTGCTGCAATGCCATGGTTACAGCTGTCATTTACAGCTGCTCCACGTACAGATAAGCAGCACAATGATGCTACAAGGATTCCAGGAAAATTTCTTCAATGCTAATTCTATCTGCTTGGGACAGAGCATTTGAAAGGCCAAGTTCATGGAGCTCTTTGCCAACAAGACTTGGATCGTAATTAGCATGTCAAACATCTGCTACAAATCAATTAATGTTTTTCTCGTCTTCAAGCAAGAAAAACAGCTTTGTCAAAGGAATACAGAAAGTTACTGTTCCAGACTGATACAAGTCTGCTGGAGTGATTTTAAACAAACAGGATTCAAATTCAGATTATCTAAAAATTATTAATGAAATGAACCTAATTAATAACATGGAGAGCAGGAGCTGACAGGAAATAAACTGCAGCATATGCACTGGGGAAAAAGGAAAAAAGTCTGTTTAAAGCTGAAATACCAGTCTCCTCACCAAGGAATTATCTGAAATGGCAGTTTGTCCAAGTGCCTGCACAGAGCCTTAACTGAACAACTCCACCAAAACTCTCAGAACTCCTTCCTTAATTTATGAAGATATGTTGAATTGGCAACCAAGACACCACATCTTCAATGCCAAACACATCATGCCCCCTCTCTTTGTATGTGCTGAGATTTATTTGCTCATCTTTAGGTACCACTACAGTCTGTGAAGCCCCTTTGGCTCCCTCTAGATGCTGAAACCTTGAGCAGCTCTGCACGTGCAAAATACACCAAATTCCTTGTCTCCTCATCTCAAGGGTGAACAAGGATGACCACGAGACCAGACTTCATAATTAAGAAAAGTTATCAGGGGAACAGCATAACTCAAGCTGTCTGAATTATCAGCAGTTTGTACCAAGCCAAGAGAACTCTTGAAGATGTCCAAACAAGGTTTAATTCTCACTTCTGAGCACTAATTAGATTATTAGCTTATATAACAACTGTAGATACTATGCAAGAAAGATGTGAAGGGTGTAACTCATGGATAGGCCTCAACAAGAAAACCACTGTCTATCCAGGAAGTGAGGGAGTTGCTCTCAAAATGAGAAACAAATCAGAGTTTTGGTTCAGGATCACAGCAGTGCAATTCTGCAGGAGGTTAATTACCCCTCAAATTAGCTCCACTGTGTCAATTACTACAATGAGCACTGCCAAGGCAGCAAAGGCATCAACTGCTCTCAAAGAAATCTGTCCATTTAATGTAAATTTTCCAGAGTCTGGACACAAAAGTAGTTCACAAATCTATTTTTCTGGTTTAAAGTAGAATATTTCAATGTTTATTGTCTGCCTTTCTTCAACTACTTGACCACCTACTACTGTAGGAAGAAAAGGGCACAGTTTACAACCTGGCATCACCGGTCAGGTCAATATTGTGACATATCTCAATAGTTTCATTGCCAGATCACAGGAACTAAAGCAGCCCATTTCCCTGTCTATAAGAAAGCCCATCATCCACTCTGCTGCTTGACTGGCACTGTTTGATTCACCTGTCAGCAATTCAGGTCACTGAATTTTATTAGGAACTGCTTTCTCCATTAAAAGGCCATCAATTTGTGTTCTACCCTCCTGGCATTTCACACCAGTTGTCTGTATAAACCACCATTGCCACCTTCAGAGCTTTTTTTCCAAAGCAGCAGCAGAGTGGATGAGATAAGTGACAGCTGCTTATCTTCTTCTTACCCCCTGTTAATTCCATGGTTAGCTTTTCATTCTCAATCATCTTCTTCTTCTCTTCCAGCTCCGCAATCAGATTTTCCTTAAGCTCAATTTTCTTATCTTCAAACTCCTTTGCTGCTGCCTTCTTTTCCTTCACATAATTTTTCTCCACCTGATCTGTCTAATGCAAACCAGAAGAGTAAGAAGGTTAATTAAGAGACCAATGACTCTAGTTAATGATATCACAACAGCTTTTCAAATGCTGTATTGATCAGCCTTTCAGTTCAAAACTGTAGCGAGTTCTAAAGATTATCAATATTCATAATCAACAGAAAACCATCTAAATATGACTTAGTGCCATTATATTGGCTAAAGAGTTAATTATTTTTAAAAAGACATTTTAATGTTGCATAACATATCAAGTCTCCTCAGATTTATAAACAGGACTATAATTTATTGCCTTAAACAACCTTTTTTAGGCAACCCAATGCACAGCCAGATACAACAGCCCAAAAGCAAATATTTAATTCTATTTTAACACCAAAGTGCAGAAGTTACTTGAAATAATACCAGCAGTAGGCTGTACTACAACTCCAGTGTAACAAAGCCAGACAGAGGAAGAAAATTTCTTTAAGCCTTCTGGGAAAACAAGCCCAAGTACTGGTTGATGAAACAGGTTTATACCTCTACCACCTATATATATGAGTAAATTAAGAGTACTTACTTCCAGCTGCAGGAACAGTTCTGAAATGCAAGAAAGACTTACTTTATTATCTTCAAAGATGCACAAAATTACTTCCTTAACATTTTAAGCCATTGAATATTGCAGCCAAGACAGGCAGTGAACCAAACAGTGTATGTACTCATCCCACCTCTACTCTCACTTTTCAGTTTTATGCTGAAAATAAAGTAACCATGGAAGAATTTCACAAAAATACGCTGTTAATGTAAGTTATTTACAGAGTGCCAGCAAATGAAAAGCTTGCACAGCAGTATTCCATAATATTCAGTTTGGCTACTACTCCCAGCAGTACTAAGCAGGTAGTTCATCTTTCTTCCTATTAAATTACAATCATTTAAGACTAGATAAAAACTTTCCAAGATAAGCTTGAAACATGCAACTAAATATTCACAGTTTAAGCCAACTTCATGAATTTCAGCAAAGACTGCTTAAGAAATAATTCTGCAGCTGTCAGAAGATTGATCTACTCAACTCACACGTGTGATTTCAGACCCCTCATGCCTGAGAAAACACGGGAAATGTTGTGTAGCACTGAAGGTTAAGTGCCAACACATGGCAATGATTAGTTCAAGTCAGACCTATGGATGAGGTGAAGGGATTTGAGGGTATGAAATAGCCCTGCTACTGATGTTTGTGCCATCTCTAACAACTTGAAATTAAGCAGGATTGCATTTCCTAGAGGACATAACGGCCAAAACAGAGTTTTTACTCAAGAGAGTGGCAACAAAAGCAAACTAAGGCACCTGATCAGCCTTCAAGTCACTGTATTTCACCAGCATATTAAGCTTTGGTAATACCTGAAACAGGAAAAGCTTCTGTAAAGACCACAAGCTTCAAAAATATGTTTTGGAGAAGACTGTAGTAGCAACACTGTACTGCTGGGTTTTTTTAAACATGAATTTTAAAAAAATCAATAGAATAAATACCAAAGACAATAATGGCCCAGTAAAAAAAATCAAACCTTTTGTTTGCAAAGAGCTCTACCTGCTGAGTATGGAAGCAGTTGGATTTTTTTAATAAGAAAATTGAAAGTTATCACCACCTGCCCTCTTGTGGAAGAAATAACCTGCTGCAGCACTGGCCTTGGCCAGCCAGAAATACCAGCTTGCACTTAGTCTTAATTTTATCAAAACAACCCAGTATTGCCAGGATGCAGCTCTAGTGCACGTGAAATTCATCTCAGAACACAAATTCCTGTTAACAAGAAGCAGTTCAAATCACTTAAATTACTCAAGAAAATCCTTTATCATCCCAAGCACTTTTAGAAAGACAGAATTCACACTACTCAAAGGTCAGAGTGTGTTGGCCATCATACAACTGCCACTGCCTCTCTGCTGTATTTCCCAGATTAACAGCCCAGGCATCACAGGATTCATCCAACTTCTCTAAAGGAGGAACAGCTACAATTCCCACATAATGGCTTTATAAAAGGCCCAGCTTCAGCATCCAAGATAAGAACCTCCTAGGAAGAGAACCAGAAAGAGAGAGGGCAAGCAAAAGGACCTGATTTCCAAGCCATTCCTCTGCAGTAACACAATAAAGGCCACCCAGAGGGGTGAGAGCTGGGCACTATAAAAATGAACTTGGGCCTTTGCTCCTGGAACAGAGCAGAACACAAAGTACAGGCAGCCCTCTCCATGTCCCAGCTATGCAGAGTAACAGTTCCAGCAGCAAACCCTCTGTATTCATTGTTCTGGGGCACAAAACAGATCCCTGGGAGAGCATGTGCTCCTGAATTCCAGTCCTGCAAACCGAAGGGAACAGGGCACCCAACACCTTCAGCAAGTGGCACAAAACAACAAGCCACAGTGGGAGGCTGTGGGTTAGGCAGATAAAAATTAAATAACTGTTTTTACTTGTGCTGTTTCACACAAATGAAGACTAAAACTGTTTATTAGTGTTTAGTATCAGTCAGAAAACAATGCTGATGAGGGGGAAAAAAAATAATCAAGATAGATCCTGTCATGCTTGGAGAATCTGAAACAACCCACACTGCACCCACTACACCCTTGGAAGCAGAAGAACCCTTGGCTCCAGCAGATTCCTTTTCTTTAAAGCACAGAATTACCACTTTCTTTCTTCAGGTGTTTTAAAAACCATAAATTTAAGTTGGATGCAGTATCTTACAGAGAAATTCCACTTACCTGCATTCCGTATCCTTTCTTTGTACTGCTGGTCCAACTTCTTCATTCTTTTCTGGTATTCCTGAAGAGTACCTGGAGTGGAAATAAATTCTAGATTCCCACTGATTTTTTCCCCCCCCAAATATTAAATTTTCTAAAGGAGCCAGGCACCACTTGAAGCACAAACACTAAAATCTGAGATCAGAAAATTACAGTTCTATCTTTTTAATTTGGAAAAGTATATTCCCTGCTTCTTCAGAAAGTGCATTATTCCTTTTAAGAAATGCTTTAGCACAAGAGGATTAACAAGCGTTTAGAGGGAAAAAGGATGGAAGTGGTTGACATTTTTAACTCAGCAGCACAGCTGAGAGCCCACATGCAGTGAAGGATGCAGCTCACATCTTCCAATACCCCCATCCTTCCATGGCATTTGACAAGTGCTGAAAATTGTCTAGGAATATAAAAAAGTCCCCCTTCAAAGCTTACCTTCCTGCAACTGCTGCAACTGCCTCTTCAGAGATGCCAGTTTGTCCTGATACATCCTGCAAAGACAGTCAGCATGAAACTTTACTCTGAAAACCAAGCATACAGAGCCTATTCCACCATCTCTTTAGGTTACAACATGTTGACACAGAATTAAAAACTTTTCAGAACTTCAGAAAACAAATGAACAACGAATTAAAAGAATTTTATTCAAATTCAGAGGTTTTCGTTCTGTCTAAAAAAAACCTCTGCCACCCCATTGGTTTTACAAATCAAATATTATGGGAACAATTCACGATAAAATAGAATTAATATTTGTTAATGTTAATATCTAAAATGACATTTGGATCCACAAACACCAGAAGCTTTACAGCAGAATCATTCTGCCACTTGGCCAAGTCTTACTATTTGTGTATTAGCTCCCTACATGTAACACAAGGCATCTCCTCACGTAGATCTTGACATTATTAAAAAAAACCAACCCCAAAGTCTATTCCCGGTTCTGTTGCAAACCTACGTTTCCTTTACCACGTATCTGTGGTTTAACACAGGCCAAGCCTTCCTGACCTGTATGAAAACACGTCACTTCCAGTAAGCAAGAACTGAAAATACTGCAAATACTCCTAAACATCACAGGAAACTACTTCCAGTCTCCAAAAAGCCCATTTCTGGGACAGGACTAGCATGCCATTGTTTAAGGGATTTTGACAGGCATCTTGCTTTTTTTTAGCTTATATAAAGCAGATCCTTTGTTTTATTTAAAGCAGCAGGAGCCATTTGCAGCAAAACTCAAAACTCATAACTATTTCTTTAACCAAAACAGCAGCAGCTTAATTCCTTGAATACATATAGACCAGAGGAAGTAACTGAGAAGAGCAGAAATACAAGTATATGGTCTTATGAGCTATTCCATTGGGCTAGGCATTTAAAAACCCCAATCTTGGCTCAAAACTCTGCAGTTTTGTGAAAATAACATCCCCAAACCCACAAATAAACAGAATATTACCTTACTTTGGATTAGTGTGGGTTACTTACTGTTCTTTCATTTCTACAAAGTCCTCCTCGTCGTGCTTGGCCAGGTCAGTCTCACTGGCATCCTCGGTGTCTAAAGGAGGTAAAAACCAACTTGTTAACATTAAAGATAAAAAAAAAATATTTAAAAACATGGAAACAAGCAAACACAAAACCAATCCTCGAACCTCAAGAAATTTAACCTCAAAGACACAACCCGAGGGGCCTCTGCAGAGATGAATTCAGGAGTGGAACAAACCCTCTCAATCTCCTTCCTGCAACTGGGAGTTTTGCAGTGAAGCTTTACATCAAGCCTGAACAACTCCAACTTCAGAGAGCCTGGGAATTTCTTCCCATTTAAGACAACAGGCTCTGCATTAACGGTCCCACATACACAGGTGAGACAGGAAAGACTCTGTAAGACCTTTCACAAACTTGTCACTACAGTTCCACCCACGCAAAGCTGCTCAGGTTGATCACAGAGGTCTCACTGAAGAGAACAGTTACTCGCTCTGACCTGAACCTCACACCTACACATCACTCAGAAGCACTTCAACATTTAACAACAAACACCAGCACTGCCACAAAAACAGCTCCACTTTATAAACAGGTAACATAAACAAATTAAACCACTATGGGGCTGCTAGTTTTCTGCTAAGTCTTTTCAGGCTTCTATTTATAACACACGGGTAGCCAAGAATCCATCAGATTTCCTCCCCAAGGAGAGGTCAGTGTCTCCAGGCTTTACAGGGTACAGCTGTGAAACTTAATCACAGCTACGTTCCCTACACAGGGAAGGGGGCCCAGACCCTTAAATCAAACCTTTCTCAGATTTTTTCTAAACCTACCACCGGTTTAAGCTCACACCAAAGATAAACCAAAAAGTTTTAACTGCAAGAAAAGTACTTAAGATGTCTGGGTCACCATAAAGGACTTCCATGCCCTATTTAGTTGTGTGTAGCCTTGGAGAGCCCTGACTGACCCAAACACTGTCAGGATCTTTAACATCCCCCATCCATGACCACACCAGAGGTGATGGAGGGCTCTGCTGACAGCAAAGGGCACTGTCCAAGGGTCTTCCTTCATCCCCCTTATTTGTTATTTTATGCACCCTACACCCCTGGGTACTTCGTGTTTTACTTAATTTCTTCTTCTCCTCTCCAAATCCCCTTTTCCCTCTCACATCCTCCCACACTCCCTCACTGCTGCCCACACTTTCTCCTCCCTTAGTTGCCTCCTTCCCCTTCACACCACAGAAATAGAACCAGTACACAAGATTTCTCCACTATTTTCCCCCTGCTGCCCCACTCCA